AACGGTGGTGATCAAAAAGCTCATTAGGTGGTGGTGGGGTTTGGACGGCGATTGGAAAACGTGGGGAGGAGGCTGCAGTTGGTTTAAGGTTGCGCTACTTCGGGGGGAACGCCGGTTGGTGGGCGGTGAGCATTGGCGAATATACTACAGCTTGTGGTCGAAATATGGGAGGAGCCATACACGCCCTGTTTTTCGACCCCTGCTTCTACAATAATTTTACTTCTCGCTACATGAATGGCAAGTGATCTGGCAGCCCGTTCTTGCATTACCCAGACCAATTGGCGGATAGATTTGGGTGGTGGGACGTGGGATGTCTTGGCAGGAAAGGAGTGAGAACTGGTGCGGGTACTTTTTTCTTTAGTACTTGGCCCTTTGCGCAAAAGATCAAATTCCGGAAACCAGATTGGCGCCGATCCTCCATCAACCAATCATACAAGTAGAATTTAGAGCCAGCTCTCTCTACGCAAAGGGTCTACTATGTACCTTCATACCTACACAATCGACGATTGGTTAATCAGCTAATAATACACATGTATCCAATTATTATTTGGCCGGTTGGTATCTTATTATGATATGAGGTCGACCTGTTGAAATTTGCGTCGCATGGATAGCGGTTTACGGTCCTTCTGCAGAAAATCTTGCGCCAATGTTATTAAGATCTATTTGTTTTAATTAGTATCTGATATCTCATATCTAGATGGCCGTGCTCGATCGGATTTTCCATAATGTTACATGCTCGATAAAGTGCCGCTGGTGTGATTATATGCAATTATAGATGTGTACCCATGAGTTTTTCTATACCTTACGGTCCGGGTTTAAGATTGCCACTCAAGAATGTAGATCTTATGTACACCTGAATCTACATAATGCTCTTTACATATATGTATAGGGCGCATCCTCCGGATTGAAAGAAGTATCGTTGCCCTTGCGTCTTAATGATCAATATGATAAAATAGAGAAAATGCACTCCTGCATCGACCATTCTTAGTCAAATGATGTCCCCTGTCAACGTATATATAGATCCGTTATTCTTCACTCGTCCGTACGGTTCGCGTGTCATCCCATAGCATTATCGCCCACGTATTCTCACCATAGCTAGATCATCGCTTCAATACCTACTCATAAACCAAAGTAAGAAGTGACATCTTTCTCTAGTACTTACGACTAACACCAACCAGGAAAAATGCAGTCTCTCCCGTTCATTATTCTCTCTCTCCTAAGCCTATCCTATGCTACCACTCCCCCCCCAGTAATCCTCTACGGAAACCCTGCCACGACGAACGCATGCAATCTCGAATGCCGCCGCGCATTCTGTATCTCTGTATCCCAGTTTCTCGAATCCGTTACATGCACCATGAACCGCCCCTGCCTCTCATTAATGCTCCAGGGCCAGATCCAGGATAAATGTTTCCACTGGCGACCAGATCTAGAAGTTCACGAAGATGTCCCGACAATTGGTGAAGTAGATGACTGCATGGGACAGGACCAAGAGGTCGAGTGGGTTAAGCCATATGTGCCTGTGAAGGAATGGGTTGATATTGTGGTTGAGAAGGAGGTCAAGGAGGAGGAGAGGGACCTATGTATGGTTGCCATTGTGCTGAGGTGGGCGTGTTTTGGAGGTGTTGTGGTGGCTTTGTGGTATACGTGGGCTATGTTAAAAGGGAAGGAGATGGTAGTGGAAAGAAGGAGAGAGAAGGGTGAGTTACATATGTAGATACTAAGGTTTATATCTTTTGTTAGGGATTTATTTGATACTAGAACGTCAGCATTAAATAGCCCGAGTCAGCTCAGGTTGAAGCCACACATCCTTATTGAGATATTTTGAGTTTTGTAGGCGGCGGGGAAGGATTTAGGCCATCAGCTCATCGGGTTTATCTGATACTCGACTCCAGCTGAGTCCCCGGGTTTTCATGTGCAGAGGACTGGTCAATAAAGTGATGAAACGAGAGGAATAGCGATTTTTTGTAAATAAGAGGAAGTAGAAACAACGGTGAGGCCATCGGCGAAAGAGATGTCGTCGTCGTAGACAAGGAATTAAGGTTTGCCAAGATTATCGTGAGATAGGGCTAAGGGTAGGACTGGAAAAGTTACCAAATTAACTTTATATATACATGTCATGTATGTGGCTGATCGATTGACTCTAAATAAACGATCTGTTTCAAAAGCAACATAATCTCCCCGGGGACTTTTTTAAGGCCTGTGTACTTTCACTCTAAGAGCCTTGACCGTCTTTTGTCTTATCATAGAATATCACTCGGTTAGTAATTATAGCCCGTGGAAGTCTTTACAAATTGTGGGTGACTACATGTACAGCGATAGGTAATAAGTGATGGAACGCCTTGTGATACGGTTATACCTGCAAACACCGTATGTTGGTGGCGTTTTACTCAAAACAGGTATCACTCCGTCTCAGCCCGTTCCATCACTTATTACCTACCGCTGTACATTATGTACATGTATACTTCCAAGACACTGGGTGCCGAGGCCAAAGCTTACTGGCATAGGATTAGGAAGAATATATAAGCTAATGTATATAGTCGGGTAATGACGTAGCTGAATCACCGATTGGTATAGGATTATTCCCTCCATATATTGGCTGTGTCTCGATTGTCATTAACTCGAGAAGTTTAAATGCGGCATAAAATATATACAGGCGGATGGGATTGGGCCGCTTTGAGCAGAATCTTGTGGGGATTGAGGCCTTGGGGTACGGTAGGCTCGCGGAACGTCTCGAGCCATTCGCTAAAGACTAAAAACACAAATCCTTTTCTTTCCAAGCATTGTATCCTTCAATTGACTTTATCTCATATATCTCAGTCAGGCATATACTAGGGTCAATGATTTTCCTTGGAAACCCTCGAGGTAAGGACACATGCACAATAACGCTCACCCTTGTGAACCACACTTGTTGCATCGATATCGGAAACTACGTAGTTCATTGATGTGCTGTACGTGTTGGAAGAAACTCAACCATACCATTGGCACCACCCTCCGGGAAAAGCAACCTGTTCTCACAAGTAGTCGCGGGGTTGTCAGAGAGTTCGAACTTGGAGATGGGCATGCCAATTTAGGAGGATATGAGTTATTTTATGACAAAGATCTGAATCAAGGCGCCGGCACGTATCCTTCTTTCTTTCAGTAGTAGGTCACTACCGAAGAAGACAGATAACCTATCAATTACGTGATCAGACTAGATATTGGCAACATCAAGCAAGCAAGAGAGTCAAAAAAATTAGAAGAAGAGTCAATAAGAATAAAAGCATCGGATTCAACAAGAAAGGCAAATAATAATCCGTCACATTAAACTAGAAGGGCTTTTAAGTATGAGCTAGATCACAGGCTTGCATTCCACTCCGCCTCTAACAAACACACCATTTTAACTGGAGATGCTGCTCCGCCTTTATGGCGACACAAATATCTAACTGATCTCCTTCTCCAATACCCACAGGTTAGCACTTGGCGAAAAATAGACGCAATACACCAACAGCGCAAGAGAAACTCAACATACTTTACTACCCGAGGGCATTCAGGAAGTGGACCACAAGAGATAGCAATGATGTTAAACTCATCGCTCAGAGTAAGGTAGGAGTTCTCGTTCTTCGGGGGCTTCGCGTGGGTCTTACTTAGTCTGCTTATATCCCAGGCTTCAGGCAAAGCATATATGATGGCGGATCGGGGAGTATTAGTGCTCAACCTGTAGGAAAGAGATTTAAAGGACCCGATCTGCTAGGTTCCCTCGCTGGTATAAGGGTATCTGGCGCCTCGGAATTCTATAGCATTTGAAGGAAAAGGTCTGGATAGTGGAAGCGAAAAGGAGGAGGAAGGAAACGATCGAAGGCGGGAATGTGCTCTAACATGGTTAGAAATTATTGTGAGGAGATTTCGTGGGAATTATTTTGGCTTGGGATTTTCTAGGAGGAATTGATGGGAAACTATTATTTATATAAATAAAGACTACAGAAGATAGACTTGGTACGGTCTTACCGGTGTCCCTGAAGAAAAATCTTTGATAGGCCTGAAATGAATCCTTAATATTTCAACACGAGTCATGTCTTCCAGCAACAGCTTATTCTAATATCCAAGAAACGCAAATAAGCACGTAATATAAAATTGCTATTTAATGACTATATATCTCACTGGAAAAGGTTTGGAGCTCTTTAGGGGATTATCCTAAATTCCAAGGGAATGTTGCAACTACATGTAAGGAGCCGTATCAGGATTTAGCACGATAAAATTTTCTACCAGCAGCTCTCAACTCGATTAACAATGGCTATAGTAGTCCTCGCTTGGATGTGATTTGCCCCAAAAACCATACCCCCCTCCCCCCTTAATTGACTATTAGTGGGGGAAACAGTAAGGCAGGACCTCCTCCGAAAAAGAAAAAAAAAACAGGTCTTTCATAGTTAATCATGACTATAATTTTATAAAGGAGCACCAGGATCCTCACCCTCAAGGTGGTTACAAATACCGTCAAAGAAACTCTTGCTCTCGCCACTATTCTAGACCATCATCTAACACCGCCTTATGCTCATACTGGACTAAGACACCAAACCCTAACCCATAGATCGAGTGATATCGCATGGACGCCTATCTCCGTCACCGTTACTAGCGTTTCCGCAATGGGGAATGGTGTCAAATTTCTTATCGACCATAATATAATAGATGTTGGTTGTGTTTTTCGGGTTAAATGTCGAAGGGGTATAAAGTTAGGTGTCAGATTCATTCGCTCGGAGGAATAAGGAAATATATAGGGTTCTAACTAGCCTATAGTGCACTACGGCGAAGGTGTTGGTTCTTTGAGGGGCAGACCCGGAAGATTATTTGTTGTATTGGATCAACCCGAAGCGCCGGATGCTGGAAATGTCGATTATAATATGATAATTTCAATATCAGTAAGGTGCGTGCACAAACTCAAGAAGGCTAATAAGTATCTAGAAAAAGAGAAGAAATAAAAGCCAGAATCCTAGATATTCCGAAGAACACCCAGGAGTATGGCAAAGAGCCCAATGCGGGGGTCGAACCCGCGGCCCTGTGATTGCCACGCTGCATACTGAAGCATAGAGCGTAAAAGTCACACGCTCTACCACTGAGCTAACAGGGCTTGAGAGAAGGGTGATGTGGGCGGGCTATCAAGGTTTGGGTAAATTGTGACTAAATGCAGTTATCGGGAGTAGGGGCACGTCACCGTACGGTAGGAAGGCGTAGGTGGTGTTGCGGAATTGGTGATGGGCACGAGCCGGCACGAGCGGGCTCGAGACCAGCCTAGCATAGGGCTCGATCCAACTCGGATCATGGAGGTAAAGGCTCGAGTTGTTCGCCCTTGGAGTTAGGCTCGGACCTGGGCTCGGACTCTTACGACCTGTTCGAGCCTAAAGCTCGAGCTCAAACCTAGAGCCCGCTCGGCTCGTGCCCATCACCAGGACCAGGGCCAGGACCAGGGCCAGGGACGGAATAGAATATGAAAGTCAAATACTCTACATAAGCTCCTGGCTCTTCCGGCTAGTTCTCATAGTTCTGTCTAACACCGCCCTATCGATTGTGGGGGTTTAAAAATACGGTCCAATGCTCACGCTTGAATTCCACTTGATGATATCGATGTACCCCGGCTCTAGGATTATAACGCATCGGGTAACTTATCATGATTCATGTAATCATAGACTATCACTCGAACATTGGTTCTGCGATGTGGACGGACATGCCGTCTGGGTTGGAGTTATGATGTATCTACACTGGGCAAAGAACGCCAAATAAGGGAAACTGTATTCTTATAAGGTGACAAAGGTTCTCGCTCTCGCGCCTTCATGTGCTTGTTCACACACATCCGGGCTGCGCGCAATGCGAGTGTCCTGGATCATGCGGAGCGGTTTGGTGGCGTATATCTCCGGCTAGCGAGATTGGAAAACAGCCGGAGGTCGTATGAAGAATACTGTGAAGCCTTCCTGGCCGGAATTATTGAATTGCAGCTTATACGTGAGGAATAAGCTGCATCAGTGCCTTACACCCGGCGAACTTCACCGGTGGTTCTAGGTTATACGCGTACGTATACCCGTGCCAGTAGGAGAAGACGGTACCGGTTGTACAGTGTTTTGGTTCCGAGCATATATCTCGAGAGGAGCCGGAGGAGGACATCTCCTTTTGCTTCCCGTAGTTTGGCTAGTTGACTGGGGTCTCGCAGCCAGAGGATACAATACAGCGGGTCTTTTGGGGCTTTCGCTTAAGTACATTTGCTCTTGAAATCTAGACACATACTCCTGCGGATTGATTGCTCACACGTGCACGCGCACGGCATTGTGGGGGCTGGAAGTCTACGAAGCAGATATTATTTATAATTTAGGTAGGTGATACCATGACTTACCGTTACTTAATTGATTCACCTTTATTTCATCAAAGGAGTCGCGATCGACAGCTTCTCAAGGGCTTCGATATATCTATACACGTACATGTATAGATATATTCTACCACGCCCCTTCCTGAGCGGGTAACAGTCACAACACAGAGATAGACCAAATTGCAAAAGCAAAGACGGGCCCCCGCTTCAATAGTATGGCCACACGCCCGCTCAAGCTTGGCGTTCTCGCTCTATAAACTGTTTCTCCCGCCCCTCATGTCTTTCCTCTCATCATATTGTGCCATCAACACTGCCCACTTCCACCCATGGCCCACCAATGATTGCAACCCTCATCCCCCACCTACATTAGAAATTTCACCTAAGTAACTACATGGATGTCCCTATTATCATGACTGCAAGCCAACGATCGGATATAGAAATACAAGGTCTCCATGCTTCTTTTTGTGTCTGGGTCAAACCTTCTAGAAACAGCCTTGAAGTAGGGAGGGTGAACAGACGGGGCAGTCCATTCTTCTTTTTTGTCTTCGTCATGATGTCCAGCTGCTTGTTAGCGGTGACTGAAAGCTGAGACAACCTTGAACGTAAGGAGCTGAGATGGGTTTTCCGTGCTTCTTTTTTGTATGGTATTCTGCTATCATTGGGTATAGACGAGAGTCATGCGAATATGAATGTAGGGATGAACAAATAAAACAGGGCATGATTCCTTCCTGTCTTTGGTGAATTGTTGAGGTACTCGGCGCTGACTGAAGGCGGAGACAAACCTGAGCGAATGCAAAGAGCTGCGGTCTGTTTTCTGCGCTTCTTTTTTTATATGATGGGAGCTTTTCATGATTTCTTTTGTTTCTGGGGCTTGCTTGCAATCTACTGAGATGAAGGAAGATAGAGGAGAAGCAATTTGAATATAGGAAGACTAGTTCTTGCCTGTTTTATTTTTTTGTAGGTCTTTTTTTGGAAGGATTGATGCGGTGTTATTTTAGGTCGTAGTTTGGCCTCCGTTGGGTGTATTTACTGCCGCTGGTATGGATTTCTCGATGTCCGGATGCCGGTACTGATATTGGACTTATCTCCCATAGCTGTGGCGATTTTCTGTTAATACATGTAGTTTATATTTGTACAAGCGGAGTGTGGCCTCCGGCCGCCCAAATGTAGTGAGGAAATGAAGATCCGGGCGGTACTGCGATAGTAATTTCTTAGTTATAGATTATTGTTGTCATTCTAGATTATTGGGTCATCTAAACGTACAGGCACGCACTAAACCTCTTTTCCATCTCTCCTTATAGGTAATCTGTGATTTATTAGCTCTAGTACGCACTCTAAGTCATTCAATGAGTAGCCTTAGTATGTATAACGTGTAGTTCATGATAAAATGCTATTAGGGAAACTTGACCTTGATATATAAGAATACAGCTATAGTTAGGGGACGCGCGGTAAAAACAGGATCGGGGAAAGATTTCTTTACGCCATAGCATTAACTTTATGCGACCACTGTATACCTAGAAACAGAAATTGAAGGAAAAAAAGGTCTGTCAGTGTTTGCTCTTTTGTATCTATCCATTACAATAGCTACACGCCTTTTAATGCCAGTTCCCTTGTAGTTATTTTCTACTTGTGTAATGATATGCAATCAATATTAGAAATAGTAAGCAACCAATAGAAAACGTTCCTGGTGACGACGAGGAAGACTGTATGGCTAATTATTCCTGGTGACGATGAGAAAGACTATATGATTTAGATGTATAGAGGTGAGTAATAAGTCACTAGATTGAACGCCACCAAAATACGTGTTTGCAGGCAAAATTATATCTAGGTCGTCCGATGACTTATTACCCACCGTGGCCGGTGTACGCCAAGGGAAAGAAGTAAGTATTAAAGACCAATCGGTCTAGGCGGACAGCTCATATACACTACAGAATCATATATTTAGGCACGTAGTGAGAAGCACTAATACTTATAGTGACCATAGATAGGCGGCGATTCGATATTCTTTTGTCGAAGAATTTCGACAGCATCATAATTCATCACTCGCAGCACGTACGCTCATTCAGCGCAGCGAGAAAACAGAAATGCTTTGGGCTTAGTATTCTCGGCTGAGACATACAAAGGGCAACAATGAGCAACAATGTAAGCTCATCGGCAATGGGTTGATGAAGCTCCATGTTATAGAGGCAGCAATTCTGATAAATCTCGAGCTCTGAACAGCTAAGGTATGAGTCATGGGTTGTCACTTGATAAATACCAGCCTGACTTAACATCGGTCAAGGTACTGGTAGATTGATTTATTACTTCATTAATTGTATTAAGCTACTATAGTACTAGGAGATTATAATGGCAATATCAAATACTCTTCACCCAGAACGCCCCTCCGTCCAAAGCCACCTCAACAAAAGGAAAATGATATAGCAAGACACCGCACAGAGAGTTCTAGAGTTGAAAGTGAAGCCTACTCTAAAGGTGCCGGTCGAGCATATATATAGAGCATAAGATTGGTGGAAAAAAGAAAGCCTGTCTGTGTACTAGTGCTGGTCGAACAGATATACTAGGGAAGAATTCGAAGTAAAGCCTAAGCAGAAGAGTAGTGGTCGAGCGAGAATATTAAGAAATTATTGGGGAAATAAATCCAGCCTTTTTATTGGCGCCGATCGAGCTGGAACTCAACGAATTAGGAGAATAAGGAAAGCCTGCCTTTTTATAGGCCTCGGTCGAGGAAGAGTTCTAGGAAATAGGAGAATAAGTAAAACCTACCTTTTAATAGGCCCTAGTCGAGGAAAGAATCTAGGGAAAATAAGAGTAAGTAAAGCCTGCCTTTTGATAGGCGCCGGTCGAGCTGGAACTCTATGAACTAGGAGAATAATAAAAGTCTGCCTTTGATAGGGCCCGCTCGAGAGAGGAATGTGAGAGTAAGGAAAGCCTGTCTTTTGATAGGCCCCGGCCGAGGGAGGAAATATGAGAGTAAGGAAAGCCTATCTTTTGATTGGCGCCGGTCCAGCTAGAGCTAGGAGAGTAAAGAAAGCCAACCTTTTGATAGGCCCCGGTCGAGAAAAGGATCTAGGAAATATGAGAGTAAAGAAAATTTGCCTTTTGACAGGCCTCGGTCGAAGCAGAGTGCTATGAAGGGAATTCTAACAAAGTGGAGAGTTCTAGGAAAGAAAGAAGGAAAGCCTTTTATCGGCCCTGGTCGAGGAAATGTTCTAGATAAACTTTAATTAGCAAAACTGTTCCAAGTATCTTTAGATTGAGCATCTACCTCTCCCTCAGCTCACAATGCCGAAATATAAAGCAGCTAGTAAAGTGTAGGTTAGAAAACCTCTCACTGGCCGGTGAAGTGAAGGGGAAGAGGAGGAGAAGAACTGCATATACACTACCTAGAAATCCGAAAAATGAATTCCTTCGAGTTCGGGCTCAGAGTCCGAGTTAATTAGCTATTTACTTTTTAGGGTACAAACTCGCGTTTAGAAGCTTCTATTGGTGGAGATGGGGGTGGAAGGGTGTAGAAGGCGCAAACAGTGCGGTAGGAGCTTCCATAAAGACCTAGACCCCGAACAATATTCTTTGTCTAGACCTAAATTCGCCGAATAGGCAAACATTCTCGAATCGAAATGATCCCACCGAGGTAGCAAACACCAACATGCATCAAGCCTGGGGCGGGAGGGTGAACACTGCCCTATAATCGTCCAGCGAGGTCCTTGTCAAGGTAGCAAGTAAAAAAGTAAACATCACAGCCTCTAGATCACTTCGCACCAATAGTGAACACG